AGTTTATTGTATGACGTCTATGATCTATTTATTTCGACCACCACTTACCGCTAAAGCCATCTATAGGAAAACGGCGGAACCAAAGTTGTACCTAATTCACCTGTCTTTCATTTAGAATTTACTTCAAGTTCTGATAGAAATTTAGTGCAATATTAGTACAGTTATTGGACGGGATTATGTTAACTTTTATCTGATAACTTAAGGGTAAAACTACTTTGGGTACCATCGTAATCACAAAAGGAATGCTTTCCGATTCACACACGATACGCATGAAGTCAGTTTGTTCCGTGTCAATGCACGCATTGGTAGCGCATTGATACGCCTATATACTTATAGATATAGAGGAGAAGAAATGTAGAGACAATTGATATACGCGTAACATTATGCGATAAATTTCTTAAATTTAGTCCGTAGACAAGGCAGTTAACGTGACATAAAAATTGCGAAATAAAAATAGAAGAGGAATTACACGAAGTGTAACATATCGAGAATAGAACTTGTTAAAAGAAACATTTTCTTTGTAACCGCTATATTGCCAGTAAACACAAAGTATCATCGACGTTACAATGTCAGCTCAATCATATGGTATATTACGTAACTGTTACTTTGTTATATAATAAAGTAACAGTTACGTAATATACCATATGATTGAACTGACATTGTAATGTCGATAATACTTTGTGTTTACTGAGTTATATACAAAACTTTATCAATTCTGTCCCATTTCCTAGTATAGTGACATTTGAAATTTTCGGTCAAGCGCATTATATTATAAATATTCTTACACATCAGAATCGAATTTATTATTCGAGGAATTAGCAATTTCTTTACGTTTCTTATGCGCGATTCGGAATGCATCCAAAATGTAACTCTTTTCTTGCAGTTACTGAGTACGAAAGATGCGCAAAATTTGAACTAAATATTTACTGAACAAAAGTAAAGTAGAAAATGGACAAAAACTATTCAGTAGATCATATAATAATAATCAAGCCTGCTGTATAAAATAGACAAGTTTATTTTAGCAGAACTTCATTTTTGTGCATGCTTTCTAATTGAACCATTGTCATGTTAATGAGAATCATTGCGTAGGAAATCTTTGATATGTAATTTCATGTGTACTTTCATGTTTTTTATTTTTTACATGATATTGTGATTACAATCATTAAATAATATATGTTCTTTTATTCATTCCTGTAATTGTATTATTTCATCAAATTCAAAGTCTGAGCTTTCTCTCTATTATGATTTCATTTGTATCACATTACCATCACAATAGTCTGATATATCCTCTCTCATCATAACGAAATTTTGTATTATTAACATATTCCATTTATCCTTTACTCACTTTTATTTATAATCTTGGTTGCCATTTCTGTTATAGAATTTAATATTGTCAATTACCTTATTTTCCTTCCATTTTCTTGCTTTATGCTTTTCTACATGTTCACTCATTGTTCATATAATTTTAAGTTTTTCTCTTAACAATATAAGTAAATATGTTTTAAATTAATTAATAATAGACTTTGTAATATATCTGCACATTATAAAACTGAATTAATATTATTGATATTATATTTTAGAAAGAATAGTTCAGTTTACATATTGTACAGTAAACTGCTTTACCACTGAATAAAATTCTATCAAGTCTTTGTTCAGTATTTTTACAACTAATGCAAATGCATTAATGATAGACAATAACTGGCCGAATGCCTGCGTATACTGCATATATTTCCATACACACTAGAGTTATATTCTATCTTCTATTTAATTCATTTAATTTATTTATCTGTTTATCTGCAATTATCTGAAATTATTCTACCATTCATTTGGCAATTCTGTCTTATATTTGGTATTCTGTTTTTCATTTGACAATTTCTCGAAGACACAGCATTGACGTTGACTTGGACCGGTTCGATAAATCGCATTTTCGCCTTCGTCTCTGTTAGCAGCTTGTTAGCAACTGTGTTGACGATCACACGACGATTGTGAGCATCGCTTTAATAAAATGTGGGCCCGAGAGACCGGTATATCACGGCCGATCCCTAAATAAGGCAATCGCAGAACCGTAAAAGCGGACTACCGGTGACCCAGTAAATCGGGCCTTCACTTTGTGGCGGTCACGGTGGGATAAGCAACTGCGTGCATCGTCGAAGTCACTCCTACTCGGTGGATTGTCACGTGTCACGGTTGCCGTGAGATCTACATAAATCGTAACTGGGTCGTTGCACCGTCTTGCCACAAGTCCATATCGCAAGATCAGTGTCAAGGAAGCGAGATATCGCATTGGCTGGTATCTAGCCAATCGCTTTGGACTACTGTTGCCTTTCTTGCGGACTTTTGAAGTAAGCCATTTCGTGCGACACGCTCCGGCGACGAGAGGCGACGGGTCGTTTCGGTGTTTACAGCGTGCGCGAGCGAGCGGTGAATCGAAAACTATCAACGCGTGTTGTTGTCAATGAGTCAAGAAGCATCATAGCATTTTTCTTTCGGTCCGTCGGTCTCGATCCACGTCCTTTCCCTTGCACGGATCGATATTTCAGGGGCCAGGGTAAATCACGATAAATAGTCCGCGAGGTGATACGCCACGCCGGCTGGCAGTTAGGGTGGTTTTGTGCGTGATAGACTCGCGTGGACGTGGGGGTGTAAATTGGCACGGTACCAACCGCGGTGCCAGCGGTTTCGTCCCTCGCGCGACTTCGAGGTCAATACTTCGGGGATGCATGTTTCCGGGGGTCACTCGGCGATCTGGTTTGCCAAAATTAATGTGGGTAATCTCGGTAGCGAGACACCTTAATTCTCTTTCTCACTCAATGTTCCCGTTACGATCGGTAAAATACCGCGAATGCATAATGCATCGAGCGAGTATACATTATGCATAAAAGCGGATCCTTTACCATTGTGTTAGAGACGTTCGTTTTATCACAAACAATGATATGTATAGAAATTAGATTAACCTTTTGGGCAACCGACTAGTATCCCATATAAGTCAATATCTTTCTATTGATGCGGTATTTGTTCACTCTTGATTGCCCGAATTAGAATTTTGAAAGCTGTACGGTACTTGAAAAAAATAGGTTCTAATAACTAGATAATGAAATAATGGGATAACAGTTGTCGCACATATCTTATACGATAATCTTGCAGTTGCGAGCTCCTTTGTCGGACACTATACACTTGCGTGCATTATGCAACAACAGGTGAAACTAACGAGACGTTTAGTGTCTATGATAACAGGAGCTGTAAATCCAATTAGATACTGTACTACACGTTAGACTAATAGCAACGATGTAAACCGAAGACTGCGTTATTACATGTAAAAAAATATAAATTGTATTGAAATAAATGTTATTTCTTTCAAGTGTCAAGTAAATGTTGTTTATTTCATAAGTTTATATGTTTGCAAATCTATTATAAGTTTATCATAAGCATTAATGCTTTTCGCTACTCGCCGCGCTCATCTTAATTTATGAAGTCAAAAGCGAAGAAATTAAGCTCAAAATTAAGAAGAAATGTAAGCTCAAAATTTCTACAATGTATGTTGAAATAAAAAGATATATTTAAAAAATGACACTTGTAATTGATTAAGTGTATCTCTAAAATACTCCGAACATTTTCCTTTTGCTCACTCAATAAATAACCTAAAATTAACGTGACAAAATAATAAAAAATAGGTTAAAAAGAAAAGTTGTATGTCATGTTAATTTTATTATTATCTGTTGATCGTTAGAACAAAAGGAAAGTGTTCGGAGTATTTTAAAAGTATGTTTAATCGATTGCAAATATAATTTTTTGGATATATCTTTTTATTTTGACATACTTTGTAGGGATTTTTGGCATGCATTTCCTTGCTTCTGACGTCATCGATCAAAAGTTCCGTGGCAAGTAGCCAGAAGCTTTAATTTTATTCAAAATATATTCTGAATCCTAGTAAGTTTAGCATTCCAGTAAAAAAATATTAAATTAAAAAAAATCGGTTTGTTACTATAAAGAATCGAATAAACTTTTTCTTCGATGAAGTTTTATAATATTCTTGGAACAAGAATATATAAGGAAAAACACTCAATATTTGGCATTTTACCTGTTATATATATTTGATAAGATTCAAACCAAGATACCGAAAACTAGTAAGTGTTGTAACGAGTGTCAGTTACTGGGCGTTTTTCCTTAAATTCTTCTTCTATATACATGATAATGTAACTTCATCAAATTTTGTAATAAGTATGTATATTTCAAAACTATCAAAAAAATATTTTTGTTGAAACTAACCATTGCTTAAGAGAGTGAAAGTTAATTGACTTAAGTAAATCACTTTTTTAACTCTAAAATTATATTTTTCTTTGTGTACACACATAACTTACATATTGCATTCAAATAAATATTGCATTTTACACTGCTTACACTGAGAAAAAAAATATCTAAGAAGTAGTAAATATTTATTCGGTGGATACTATAATAACGTTTTTACTATAATATATATACTACTATATATATATATATTTATACTACAATAATTTATACTATAATACTATAATAATTTATACTATACTATAATTTATACTATATAAATATTTTTCACAAGTAAGAAAATATATATTTCCTTAAAATTTTAAGGAAACCTTAGATTTTTATAATAGCAATTATTTATTCCATTTAAATAAAATAATTTAACTTTATAAATATGTTATATATTAATATACTTATCATATAAATAAATAAATATATATATTATTTTTAAGGTATTTTTCCTATGTTAGTATACTATACACAGATTCGAACCAACTTTTCTTCAATAAAATTTTATAATATTCTTGTAAAGAGAATGTATCTTTCTTTTTAATATGTAATAATGAACTTTCCTAAAACTTGTGATAATTATATTTTAAGACTACTATCAAGAAAATATTATTTGCTAAAAATAACTGTTACTTAAAACAAGAAAAATAAACTGAATAATTGTTTTTCTCAGCAGCAGAATGATATTTTTTTGCGTGTAATATGTTGTTCCCTCATCAGTTTTTGAAGCTTTACATTTTGCTGAATCAGACAGGCTGATCATGGGAAATAGATAGATACATTTCTGGACACTGATTATGTCGATAAATTATGCACAAAACCAATTTTACGAGATCGAACAAATTCATATGTACTTACCCGGGTAAATGGGCGCCATAACTTTGCCTGAAGAATTGCTTCTTTTGCTCTTCGTACGCTGGATCGAACACCATTTTTCTCGTTAGCCTTTATCTAATCGTCGAGTTACACTGTGAGGGCATTTGTTAAAGTCCCAGACGCTCATTTCATGGTTTCCTCTTCTTCCTTCTTCTTTTTTTTTCATTAATTAAATATACATCTTACTGAATCACTCTCTTCGGCGACGTCTTTTTCATCTGTCACACTTCGCGAAAATCAGTTCTTCATTCGCTCGATCGTCGCAATCGTCCGTTTACCATCGATCAGTATCGATCCCGCTCGAGCAGAGCGTTCGGTTATATTTATATCGCGGCTGCGTCTGCATGATCTCCGCAGGAACGATCACCGATCCACAATTCAATTTGGACTATCGAATTGAGCTCGTTCCGTCTCGCAGCTCGCGTCGCGACCGCGCCGAAGATGATCACTGACTCGAGGCGATTGGCCGGCTGCCGCTCGAGCCATGAAGCCTCGAAGGTTCGATCGACGACCGTCGGGATCCAGCGATCGGTTGCGGCCGACGATCGCGCGAGCTGTCGCGCGCGGCCGACGACGCGCCAGTGAAACAGAACGGCGCACAGCCGCGGCCTAGGAGATACAATACAGAGTGTGCCCTACTAAAGACCACCCCTCTCCATCTAGCGTCGGGCTCTCGCGCCTCCCTTCAGCAAGGGATGTTCGACGCTCAGCGAGGCACGCGCTAGCACATCCCTACGCGCACGTGAACCGCTCAATCGCGCGGAACACTTCGGCTTCGGCACCCACAGTCGGATGCCATCCTTAAACGACGTTACCGGTCGTTAGCCCCTTTCTTTATGGTCACCCCTGTGAGTAGTCATCGCGCTGGTCCGCGACTTAATATAGCGCCCTTGGCTTTCGAGTTGTCGCCTGTCCCGGTTTATACAGCGATAATTCAGAGTTTTTCCCGAGCCTCGATGCGCCGCGAGGAAATGAGAGAAGTTGGTAAATTCCCGGCCGGGAATCCCCTTTGGTGGTTGTCTTCCAACGTCGTCTCCGTGCGGCAATTCTTCACGCCAGCGAAGAGCTGTGTTTGTGCCCGATCCTGTGCTCATTTCCTTAGCACGCACTCGATGTAGCGATTTACAGCGGTTATGCGCGAATACTTTCTCCAAACACTCAACGTAGCGAAAAAATCGGAGACGCTTGGAGAATATAGGACAGTATAGAACATGATAAGAAATAAAGCTTTTTAAATAAGATAATGTGAAAACTAAAGATAATGCGAAAACGGAATCCTATAAGGAGGGAATAATGTGAGAAGGAAGTAATATGAAATTATCAAGAGAAAGAGAGTTAAGACACCGATTTTTAGTGTCGTTTTGATTATTATGTGCGCTTAAATTTTTACAATGTATTTTTTAATGTACTTCTATTTAAAATAAAGTATTATATCTCGGTGTATTAATACTTTACAATTAACTCATTAATAAAATCACAAACAAGAAATCACTTAGTGAGAATGCAAAAATCATAGAATTTCGTACAGAATTTTCTTGCACATGTTCTTTGTCTTTCCTTATGTCTTGGCGTTATTAGCAAAATTAGCCGCGATTGTCGTTCGGGTTCGTCGATGGAAAACGCGCACTTCCTCGTTTCTTCCGCGTTGTATCGGTAACTACGGGACACTTAAGTAGTAAGCGACGGTCTCCTGAGTAACTCTGCCCCCTTGTGAAAAATCAATATGGGGGGAGGGGGGTTGAATGCACCGTTCCTCCCTCACGAAAGCTGTCTCGACGAGTATATATCTATCCTGAGGCAGACTCGTTCAATTTTTATGATTGTCGGCGATATTGTCAGGCAATATCGATATCGCGAACTACGTTGAACAATAAATTTCAGGAGGTTGTAAAATGAGTTTCTTAGAAACTCATTGAAATTTGCTTTACATATAAATTAAAATATTATCCAACTACTCGTGTAAGTAGAAAAAGATTGACCATTCGAGAGATGAGATATTTGAAACTGAAGTTGACTTTTTATATATGTATGTGTTCTTTGTGAGATTTATTATTTTAAAATTTTATTTTTAATTTCTTGTAAACACACACTCTCTCTTTCCATCTAAAATTAAGATTTTAATAAAAAACTACTATGATATCAAAAATTAATATATCGATATTAGATACAAATTTCAAAATTACTGATTGTCTTGATTGGAAAATACATCTATAGAAAATTTATAGTACTACTATTTATAGTACACTCGAGAAAAATGTTTATACATGTTCACATATTTAAACATTTCTATACATCTTTCTATATCTGTACATTTCTATTAGATCAATTAATACATAAATATAAAGTATTAATAAGAAAAATAAAAAAATAATATTTCTCGTATTTATAATATTGTGTATATATATCCACATTAATTTAGTCTTAAATTAATATTTATTACTTAATGATATAATGTATACAAACGTCATCAATAAATAATAAGTCTACGAGTGACCCAATTGATGCGCTATTAAAAATATGACATTGAGCCTTACAAACTTCTTAAAAGAACAAATACTCTAGCTAACTTATTTACTAAAGCAATACAGATAAAAATTTTATTATCATCATAAGAGTCATCGCACAATAACCTCGTAATAATTCATGTCAAGATTAAATTGACCTCCTGGCTACTATTTCTTGATTATCAGATAACAGAATCGATAAAACTCTTGTTAATTAACTACTTCGTTAATTTTTAATAAAAATAAATCTCTATATACAATGTTGGTTTGCTGAACTATATTAAAAACGCAAAAAGAGATATACATGATTTTTTATCAATTTATCATTTACAACTTCTAACACATTATTTCAATAATATTTTTTAGAATATATAACAAGGTTTATACGATGTAGTTTACACAAGATATGAAAAAGATTAAATTGCTTTTATTTTGTTATAAGTATTTATCATGAGTAGATCGATATTAATTAATAGTCGAAATTGATATATTTAGCTTAATTTTATTATCATTAAAGCAATTCGTATTACATGTCGGTAAATAATCGACATACAATAAGTAATAGACGATCGATAAAGAATTACTTTGTATAATATAATCAATGGTTGATAAATAATCGACGCCCAGTGAATAATCGTCACATAATCAATGTGCCCTACTATCTTTCCAACGATCTCGATTATCATCTGTCGATAACTGTCCCGTACAACACGTACAACTTTATATGCGTAGAAATCTGCATTCTTATCCCTTATTTATCAATAAACACGTTTACGTACGGAATATATCTTTCAGTTATATCTGTGCTGCGTTACGTGATAAATTAAGGGGATGCTGAAGCTGAAAACTTTACCGACAGGATACTAACATTTTTTTTATAAAGTTTACGTCGCATTGGTTGTACAGAATTGCAAATGCTTTTACGCAATGAAGGTATGTAAAATAAATAGGAACATTGCTCAATATGCAACAAAAATGAAAAAAAAAAATGTAATGTAAAGTCTCGAACTTTAGTTAGATATCTCAAAGTCAGTTAGAATAATATTTGTGATACATATTGAACAGAAAAATTTTGAAGAACATTATTGTACCTTCGCATTTGAATTTAGAAGCTTAAGAATATCTGAAATATTAATAGAAAGATTTCTACATATGTATGGTCAGGTTTTCCGTTGGATATGGTAAAACAAAGCAACACACATTTACGTAAGTTCTGTATATACAAGAAATACGAAAAGGATAGCGTGATTATGTTGGTGATTATCTCCGCGTTATCATTTATTGTTATCGCGCATTATTTTTCGCTCGTCATCGGCTTCAGTATTCCCTTAAATTCCAAAGCAATGTAGCACTTCTTTCGTTGCGTTGTTCTTGTTTCTTTTCTGCTATATCGATGCGATGCGATGTAATCTCCGAATGTACGTTTGTTTCAAGGCACGTAAGTTATTTATTACGCGACGGCTGTTCGAATAACGTTACGAACATTGCTCGTGCATGTTTTCATAGTGCGCATCGCGACCTGTACACAGCCACAGCGCGCGAGGTAGTGTACACGTGAAATATTGATTTCCAATTCATATCTGTTATACACATACTATTGCAAGACTGTATTTCTATAAGTTTAGACGAGCTTGAGCAGTCGTAAAAGCGCCCGCGAGAGAACGTGAAAATATATGTACATATATCCGTGTTTCCGAATGTGTGTGTCACGTGTTCGTTGCGATTTTAATCTTCTTTTCAACCGCGAGATAACAACGTTAACCGCAAAACTCCGAGTCGACACTTTCACAATCTCTCGTAGTTATTTTCTTATGCGTGGCATAGATTTTTCGTCAGAATACTTTTCGAATCGACGGTTAATCGTGAAATAACAGTGAATGAATAAGTCTAGATTAACAGTGTTGATTATACGTATTTAACTTATCGTGAGAACAATCTTAGAGGAATTTATTGATCGTTAGCGGGAAGTTTGTGGCCGCTGAAATGAGTATTTGTAAGCTTAATTAATCTAGTCAATGCACTCGTCAAAAGTTCCATTTAATAAGCCGGAGAGTTCCGTCGGCAGGCTAGGAAGATGTCGTTAATTAACGCATCGTTATAATATCATTGTTAATACTGCTAACACGTCTTCATTCCCGTTGAGTTTATATTTCCATTGATGAGTGTGTCAGCATTCGAATGAATAGTTTGTACGTTATAATTAATCGGTGATTACCTGTTAATTTGATTTTCTCTCTCTGATTACTTACACTATCTAACTATTAGTTCATCGAAAGAACGTTACTGTAATATATATATATATATATATATATATATATATATATATATATATATATATATATATATTGCAAAAAAGTCTTACAGAGAGATGCAAAACGCGTTATTGGAGAGGGTGGAAGTTACTTTTATTATATAAATTAACGCGTTTACGTGGTAATATCGGTCCCAATGGGTCACGAATGTTTCGAGAACGTTATTGCAGCATTTGCAGTAATAATAAAACCCTCCTCACCGATCTTCCAAGTCGACCTTGAGCAGAACCACGCATTTTCGCGCTGCACGTACGAAGGGTCGAGGACGGATCAATGAGGATTGATAGTGACGCCCCTTGGCGAGGGTCCGGCTGGCTTCCTATCACTCTTATTTGTTCCGATAAATTGTAGTTAGATATGTTATCACTATGTTGCACGCGAAATTTGTAATATCACGCCGAGAGTGTACTCATTGTGAACCTTGTGCTCAGGTAAAGGTAGAAAAAATACAATAAAACTACACTTAGTTTACTTTGATTCTTTTTTTCTTGCTTTATCTTGCACGGTTATTTTCAATTCCCTGTGATATTTTAAAGTTTGGATTTAGGATACCTACGCGCTCAGATTCCACGCGTAGATTCACTGTTTACATGTGAAATGCTTGTTCGAGGTCCAATCTCGAACTTGAAGCACAAACTATTGCATATATGTGCTTCTTTATGCAAACACACAAACATGCGTCGCTTGAACCAAATTCTTATCTTGTGTATTCGCTCACCTTGCGTCTTATCGGCACTATATCGCTATATCACTTTCATATGGTGGCATATCGAAGTCAAGTACCCGTATTACATTCCGCGTTCATATCAAAAGTATTGCGTGCCACAACTCACGTTTTCACTGCGAGCGTGCGACTTCCTTCCCGAGCGCTTCCAACCAGTTGAACTTGTCCAGCTTTTGATATCGTTGGCGCGCTCGCCGCATTGCTTTTTCGTTTCCACTTGTCCTTTTGGAAAACGAACTCTAAAACATTGATAAGTCGCGGATTAGTGTCAAGCGAGTCTTGAAAGCAGGGAATCCTTATTCGCGAACAGCTGATGTGCGCCGATCGCGACGTTGGTAATTATGACTTTCTCGGGCACGCACACACACGGCGGTCCCGCAGGATTCTCAGGACATTTAATGAATCCACCTTCACCTTCCGTTCTTCAGGCCGTCTACGCGAGACGATAATACGCGATATCCTGCGTAGGAGGCGGCGGCGGCGGCGCTCTCGCCGCCAAAAATTCAATCCGGCACGTCACGCCGCTCTGTGTATCAACATTGAAAAATCAATGGTAACCTGTGACGTAGGTGTCCCGCCTCAACGGCGACCAATAGGCGAGCGCGCTCGCTTGTCCCGCGACCCCCACTATCCCGTTCGCGAAACCATCGCCTACTCACACGACCGCCGGCGTGCTCATTCCGTAGCGGACTGCCGCAACGAGCGCACGTGTGTCCCCGGGCGGATATTGTCGAATAAAAGGCGATACTAGCCGTAGCTAAAGAAAGACGTACAGTCGGAAGTAACGCAGAAGTAACGCAAGGCGGGCGCATCGCACGCACTCACGCACGCACGCACACACCTGTGAGAGCGCGACGTGTATGCAGTTTTCCAGTCGGCGTTAGCATCCCGCTCGATATCGTACGCATCCAGAACCTGGAACCTGGTCGGTGACGAGTCACGGGCGACACGTAGCAGCGTCGAAGGGACCAGCGATACATCGATCTACGACGTCAACACTACGTCATTGGTCACGTTCGCAGTTGGCGCGCACGAGCCGATATCGATCGTGATTTCGAACGATTCCCGCGAGATCGCCGGTAGAGTCCCGTTTCACGTGGGGACCCATCGTCGTCTGGGGAAGTGCCGAAACACCTGAGGAGAGTCACCGAGGAGGATCGTCTTCTCTTCTCGGCACTGCGAGCTGTACCGCGCCGGTTGAACTTTCTAGAACCAGCGGGAAAGAGGGAGAGAGGAAAAACTCGCAAGGCGTGCGAGAAGCTCGAGGCGGAACAGTAAGCGCGAAGAACCGACGAGAGGTAGGTGGGACAGAGCGAAAGAGTGTACACACACCGGCGTACGAGATGGCGTTTATGATGCCCGTGGTGAAAAACGAATGGGACATTTACAAGACGAATCGCAGCCGGCGCTCGTCCGAGTGCTCGAATCCGCAGGCCTGTCGCAGCAGGAAGGTGAGTCCCCCCTCCCCTGTTCGAAGCAATGTTTATTATGTCGCGGGGCAGTGTTTTTTAATTGCTTTCGCGTGGCGAGCGTGTGCGCGGTAAAAATTCGGCGAAATCGATAGAGAGAAAAAGAGATGTCAGTTTTAGACAGCTGTACCGTGTAAAACGTGAAAATTTATAATGAAACTTGCGTCATATACACAGTGAAGTATTATCTAGCTGCTTGTACAATTAGAAAAAAATTGACCATTTGAGAGCTGAGATATTTGCAACTAAAGTTGATACTTTTTATACGTGTTGCTTGAGGCTAGCGCGCTATTTTCAATTTCTATTTTTAATCTCTTCTAAACGCGCGCGAAAAATTTAGATGAAAATGGGAGATTTTGATGAAAAACTACTATGATATTAAAGACTAATATACAGATATTGTACATAAATTTCAGAATTATTAACTTCTTGTTTTCAAAATACAGTAGTATAAAGTTCATAATTTATAATAATACTCAAAATATATATACACGTATTTAATTAACGTCGGAATCAGACAAAGCAGAATCCATGCGGTTCAAATCCGGAAACCAAATCTAGTACGTATTTAATTACTTATATATCTCTATTATATTTGCGTATTTCTATTAGATAAACTGATACATGAATAAAGTATTAGAAAAATCAGAAAAATAATAGGTTTTTCATATTTATAATATTGTGTATACATACGGTATCCACTGTATCTTTATCAGTCACAATGATTGAATAGGAAAAAATACCAAATGCATTTAATTAGTTTTTGAATATCAATAAAATGCAACAATAAAAATTCTGAAGTCGTTTTTCTTTCGTAAAAGAAATCGAGATCACCTTCACTTTTTAAAATGAAACCATATTTTTATTCGTAGTGTTGTAAAGAGAATCAAAATAAATTCAATAGTAACTCATAATATTACCTTTATTTCACAGCAAAAGACTACAGTAAAATAATAATGAAGAGAATCTCAACAACATGCAGTTTCAATACAAACATGCAGAAATATAAATCGAATTATCGTAATTCATCGTTGACATATAAAACTCTATTCCAAATGGCGCAATTTTGCGTTGCAAATGGATTATATTTTGAACATGTCCTGAGCACTTAACATTATTTATTACGTTGTATTACAAATATCACCAAATCTTCTGTCTGTGTTTATGCTGTTAAATGTTAATGAAAATAACATTATACATTTCTACTATGTATTTCTTTTGATCCTTTTTACAATACTACGAATAAAAAAGATATGGTTCTATTTAAAAAAGTGAAAATAACCTTGAGATTTTTACGAAAAAGAACGTTGTCGAAATTGTTATTATTGCGTTTTATTGCTGGTTAAAAATGGATTAATTGTATCTTTTGTCTGATCATTGTAGATAGTAAAGAAATAGTGGATACCATTACATGAACATTCTGTACATATTTATCTCAATTTCGCTTCAAATTAACAATGTTGCTTAAGTAGTGAAACAAATATATAGAAACGTAATTTTATATGATAAATAGTATATTTATGAATGGTTTCTTTGATACGTCACTGAAAACAACGGCTCCTAACGATACAACTACCTTAAAAGCGCATGTGTATATGTTTATATACAAATCCAAATACAAACCAACACAATACAAATACTGTGTATCGCGTAATAGAAATTTTGGTTTATGCATTCGTTTGGAACAAAAAGGTGTGTTCTGAATTGTAGATACGCCCCTGATGTTGTTTTCGCCGGAAATGGAAACGCATGCAAAGAATGTTTCGGATATTTCGGTGGGTTAATTGAAAAACGCTGCTCCCCCCAAGATAGAGCGCGCGAGTATTTCGCGACGCGACGTAAGATTTTAGACTTGTAAATTAAGATGAGAGATATGCGCGTTTAAATGAAGTAGGAATAAGTTAATATAAAAGAGTACACGTTGAATTGACGTATCCCATTGTATCGTGATCTGTCCACCACGTGTACAGTGGTGCGGGAACGTGGGACGAGCGCGATAAGCGGCCGGAAGCCGAGAGAGAATCTCGTGGAAACTCGGAGGTTCCGGTTTGAGCGGGACACCCTGTGTGTAAGATCGAAACACAAGGAATCAGCGACTTTTAACAATGCTGGCGCCCGCCGTTCTTCATGCGTCATTCGCATTGTAACCGTTCAAATGTATGTCAGCATGAAAAATGAAGTCCTCTGTGCGCATAATCTGCACGCCCGAGGAGGATCGTTATGTTCACGCTCCGCTGAGCGTCTTTCGTGTACGTCGTTTCGAGATTACGGGTCATGACGGAGTCGCAACGGAAGTATTGCGCGGATGTGGCCCGCCGATGTCGATCGTGCCGTAGTCACGACGAAGACGCAGTAAAAGAACGCAGGGGAGAATTGCCGCCGCACTGCATGCGCAATTTTTGTCGCAGGTCCGACGAACTAGCAGACAGAACCGTCACGCGAAATGCGGCGCGCCTGATCGCCCTGCCATCTCGATCCTCATGGTAATCGGCTAGCCTAGCTTCGCGCGATTTTAGACCTGTTTTTTATCGCTGAACTGGTGTACACTTACGGGGCTTAAAAAGATATACAGCTGATACTTGATGGGACAGAGAGAGAGAGAGAGAGAGAGAGAGAGAGAGAGAGAGAGAGAGA